ACTAGCACACACAAGGGTGACTCCATAGGACCCTGCAAGGAAAAGGAGACACCCTAAACCAGAATACCAGGGCCAGTGCTTGGGGGACCAGCTGATTCTGCAGGAAACTAAAACGTTTAAACATTATGGGGCAGCATTCATTGTAAGTGATTTCATCAGTATTTGAAATAGTTTAAAAACCTTTTGACTTTAATATCACTTTAACACATTAAAGACACACACCACACATTCTTTACTTTACATGCAGCCTGACTGCATAACAGTGATAAATCTTGTGGCTTTATTTTGGATAGTAAACCTATCAGTAACTTTAGAAATATGCCCTTTTACATTTCTAACCCAATGCAATATACAGCAACAGTATGTTTTTTTTTAAAAGCTCAACTTTTAACTAGAAAGTTGTCCTTAAGCTCCAGTCAAGTCACCTTTTCTAGGCTTATATGATGCTATCAGTCTGCTGTAGGCAGGAGGAAGCATTCGAATGTAGCTACAAATAACCTTTTAACAAACAGCCCAAAACAAAAGTCTAAAAATAACAATACATAAAACAGCATGACAAAAACGACAACGGACCAAGCAAATACTCGATGTAAAGAAAGTGTTATGATATATTGTATTGCCTTCACTGCTACTGGTGTCTACGGTATGCAAAAAGGTCTTAGCTAACCTCATCAATCTGCCTAAAGCTAAACAACTACAAACACATTTCAAAGAGTTATAAGCCATTTTACTTGTGTTGTGGTTATCATTATTTCACAGCTAAAACCAGCACTGACATTACTTTTGCTGTGGTTACATTTCTGGCTATACAACCAGCTGAAAACTAGAATATAAACTCACATAAACTGAAGCCAGCACACAATGAATCATTCTGTCAACTGGATATTGATTTTTTGGGGTGGGGAAAAGATGAAATTTCCAGCCGCTCAATGCCTTTATTAATATCAATAAAACGATTAGCACTTCGCTTATTTTGAAGTATAAAAATCCTTTTTTTTTCCAATCTTTTTTTTTTTTTTCAAGCTCTCTTTACAGATATGATGAAGGAATATAGATAGTAATCCCTACGGGCTAGAGCTGACCTCAGTGCTAGAACAAGCGACAGGTCTTCTCCTGACCTAGAGCTGCAGCTGCAACATGCTAATTGCAGGAAGTGGGAGCTAGACATATGACAATGTTCAGAGCTGTGCTCGTTGCTGAATGAGTATGAAGCTGCTAATTTATGAATGGAGCAGCCTTCAGTGCCTCATTTGCACAGCAGCACATTTTTTTTCCTAGCCTGTGAAATTTAAACCAATCAAACTGATTACTGCGTGTGCTCTAGTACTATTATTCACATACTTGTAGGGTTCCATCACCCTGCAAAAACATGTACTACAGACAACAAGTATACTGGAATTAAATGGGGAACTACACTATCCCAAATTCAGTGTAAAGAGGTGAGCAGAATATGGTGTCACCTCACCCACTTCTATCCTGCTGATCCAAAACCAAGAGCTTCCATGTCTATCTTCCTGCAACTGCTTCAGAGTATGGGACCCAAAGACGTCTGACCCATTACGGCTATATTCACACCATGTCCAGACCAGATCTGGAACAGATCTGAAAACACGGTGCAGTACATTTTGGTACAGTTTTATTTGTTTAGCTTAAAAGGCTTTTAGGTTTAGTCCTGTGTGTTCCAATGTGTTTTTTATTTGTTTACATGCATTCCAGACCAGAGAAAGTTAGACATTCAGTATTTTTTTGTCTGGACTGGAATGGACTGCGCTGGTGTGAAGAGTGTCCAGAAATACCATAAAGATACATTGGTATGCTTTTTTTGGTCCGAGAACAAACTGTGCTGGTCTGGATTTGGTGTGAACAAGCCCTAAGGCAGAGCCATGGGTGAGTGTGGCTTGTGCATGTTAATTATAAGACAAGTAGGAAGTAGCTAAAGAAGTAAGCTAATCACATCATACTTAATTTCAGTACCACCAAAGAAGGCTTGGTGAGGTTGTCCTCTCACTTCCAGGATGCTAGGCTTCAAGTAAACCTGTACATATTTAATCGTGCTGCCCATATGTAAGCACCCCAAGGTAACTCACATTTTCTTTTGTGCAATCACAAGACCCTAATCTCAGGAGCATACTGAACTCTAGATAAGACTTTCGCATCATCTTTTTTGACCTCGGCTTTGCCCACTTCACTGTCTAACAAACAAATGAGAAAAACAGGTATTAGTATGCATTATGGGGGGAGTGGCAATGAGTCAAGTTGGTGTCAAGGTGAGGCTTCACCTCAGTGTGTGTATGGCACTGGTGGCTGCACGTAGTGAGTCAAGTTGGAGCCAAGGTGAGGCTTCCCCTCAGTGTGTGTATGGCACTGGTGGCTGCACGTAGTGAGTCAAGTTGGAGCCACGGTGAGGCTTCCCCTTAGTGTGTGTATGGGACTGGTGGCTGCATGTAGTGAGTCAAGTCGGAGCCAAGGTGAGGCTTCCCCTTAGCGTGAGTATAGGACTGGTGGCTCTACGTAGTGAGTCAAGTTGGAGCCAAGGTGAGGCTTCACCTCAGTGTGTGTATGGGACTGGTGGCTGCATGCAGTGAGTCAAGTTGGAGTCAAGGTGAGGCATCACCTCAGTGTGTTTATGGGACTGGTGGCTGCACGCAGTGAGTCAAGTTGGAGCCAAGGCGAGGCTTCACCTTAGTGTGTGTATGGGACTGGTGGCTGCACATAGTGAGCCAAGTTGGAGCCAAGGTGAGGCTTCACTTAAGTGTGAGTAAGGGACTGGTGGCTGCACGTAGTGAGTCAAGTTGGAGCCAAGGTGAGGCTTCACCTCAGTGTGTGTATGGGACTGGTGGCTGCACATAGTGAGTCAAGTTGGAGCCAAGGCGAGGCTTCACCTCAGTGTGTGTATGGGACTGGCGGCTGCACGTAGTGAGTCAAGTTGGAGCCAAGGTGAGGCATCATCTCAGTGTGTGTATGGGACCGCACAGGCACACTCAAAAGGCTATAGAGACCAGTAAAGATACTTGCAACCTTGGTGTGCCTACACAGACACTTTGAAGACCCTGGCTGGCTTGCTTTACAGAAAACCTGCACTTAAAGAAATATGAAAGCTGCTGCAGACCTTTTTCTGAAAATGCTAGTTCTCTAGCAGGCATGTAGTTCCAATGGGTTTGGTATCTTCTAAGTCAATGACCCAGAACACTTACACAAATTCTGACCTAAAGCATATATAAACCTAAGATCGAAATTGTTATATACCAGTCCATAGATGTGGTGACTGTATTTCTTTTCCCTTTTTTTCCAGGCTTTTCCTTTATTTTCACTGTACTGTATCTATGGAGGAGGACCATTGTCACATTAGGACAGGACTACAGCAACCTCCCCCTTTCCTCCATAACATAGGAGGTAGAGGTTCTGTAGTCCTCAGAGATAGATGGAGACAATGCTAACTGATAACAGTGCAGCACAGGCAGAGTGCACAGGGAGTCATCCACTCACTAGTTGCCTGGAAGAATCAACAAGTAGTGTTTGCACTTATTGATCAGATATAACAAAATGCTTCAGATGGTAAAGGGAGCAAATAAGAGAAGCTTCACATATACTTTAATTTGCTGCATGCTTGTTTGAGGTAATTGACTTAAGCTACTGAAGCCTGAGACAGCTGGGCAACTAGCATTTTTAGAAAGAAGTCAGGAATGGCAGCTTATATTTCTCTCTGTTTCCTTTAGTGGCTAGGTGGAAGGTATGGGGAAACAACTCAGTTGTAAATCTGTTCTTATTCCAATGTTACATCATAAGGCCCCCAATGAGTAGTTTTCCCTGAGGTTCCTGCAGCAGGCAACAGTGCTGATTTACTAAGAGTAGAGGCTGTTCAGTGATTTTTCTTACTTTGAAAGGTGGCATTTTTAATTTAGCTTAGTAAATAAGGTGAAACTTTGTTCACTTGGACTACCCATTAATGTGCATGGAAAATAATAACAAAAAAAATACTTTTGGCTTGCACATGATTGGATGACTGAAGTCAGCACATCTTCACCTTCTTTACTAGGCCAAGTGAACCAACTTTCCAATGTGAATATTCACTTTGCTAAATGAACATCCTCCGTTCCTTTAGTAAATCAACCAAACTGTCTCATTACAAGTGTGATGATTTCTCCATTATTTAAAAGAAAACAAACTCATCTTTCGATCCCAAGGTTGTAGGGGAAGAAGGGCACACCACTGCACCACAATTATTCCTTTAGCCACACATTCCCGTTCAAACACAAACTGCTCAAAACTGGTATTTCAGTTTTGTGTTGTCACTGGTAGGTTGATTCACATGCTGGCTTCTTCTATCTCTTGGGACCAGCAATAGCCCCAAAACCCGACCAACCAACACCACCCAACTGCTAAAGTCATTGCCAGACCAAATGACGGGGACACATTTTCCACCAAAATAACTTTCCAGTCCAGTTGCACAAGGGTACCACCTTCTTCATAGCCTTGTGGGTGGATGGGAGTTGTTCTGGGACACAAACTACTGCATGATAATAATAAGAATGATTCAAACTACCAGAGCATACTGAAAACTGATATATACGTTTTGAGAAGAGCTGGCCTTTGAAAACAAACGTCTGCTTAGTATTGAATATTGAAATCAAGTATGCAAGAACACTAACTGCAGGCTAAAAAAAAAACCATGTGCTAAGTTGTTATCCATTCTACAATGACAAAGTACATGTAAAGAATGATCAGTTTTAACACCAAAATGCATTAACAATCGATCTACACTACAATGCAGCTGTGTGCTGTGTACAAATGCGAGGTGCTTCACATACACACGTGATGGAGTGTTTTGAAGTGTATGGGACAACGTTTATTGCAGAATTTTCTCTTAATGATGCAGTGGTTTGGAATTTACAGGACATACTAATGTTTCTTTTCGGACAATAAATAACATTTTGCAAACATTTGTATGTATAATTTAACATGACAAGGTACAGATACAGCAGCTTTTTTAAAAAAAACACATTCCCGTAACTCTCAAAATATATTATCAATAGGCTCCATCCTCATGGAAACACACACAGAACATCTTATATCTCCCAGGTACTCAGAAATGGCAACACAGGGTTAATACTTAAATGCGTGAAGAAAAAGTTGTAAAAGTGCCAGCTGCATGAGCACACACACATACACACAAATGATCTCTCTGTGCACATAAAGCCGTGCATTAATGACACCCTCACAACCTGACGGAGGCATCGGAAAAGGGGTAGTGCGTCTTGAAGCCAGACAAGAGGCACTGAAGGGGTGGAGGGATGGGGGGAAGTAGGGAGCTGGGAAGGCAGGGAAAGAAAGAATCATCTCCTCTGACCTCTAGTGAAGTGCCAGGTTTTTTCTTAAGCTCTTCACATTTCCTAAATTTGCAGATCTGGTGTCCTGTTTTGCGGTTCCTGCAACTGCTGCAGACTCCACAGTTGATGAGCCTCTTGCAGGGCACACAGACCCCACACCTTTTCCTCTTCTTCTTGGCAGGGTTCCCGCCAGCTCCCGAAGAATTATTCTGCGGGCAGTCTGCCAGATTGGCAATTTGAAACGCACTGTCTGTGACGGCTGCCGAGGCTGCTGCGGGGGAGTGAAGGGCTGTCATGACGATGACCCCTGGAGGTAATGAGATGCCCCCTAGAGCCGGAATAGCGGAAAAAGTTCCAACGCGTTCAGGGAGATTCATTATCTCTGCTTCAGCGGCGCCGCATTTGAGCTTGTTCATGCATTCCCCTGCCAAAGGTCTGCAGTGTTCAGGGGATAAGGTGGAAAGGAAATTATTATTTGCCATTTGCAACGACTCTGGCGCTGCGCCAGGCTTCCCCAGCCTTTGGGAGTCGTTTCTGTGCATGCTGGTCCTATTAGGGTTGATAGCGGCTGATTTCCTCCCCCAAAGCATTGCATTATCACAGTTCCAAGGAGTCATGCCTATCCGGGCACTGGGGAAGATAGGAGTGGTGATCCTGGCAATTTTAGCAGCCTGAGGAAATGCACCATTCGTTTTGTAAAACGTTGCAAAGGACCTATACCTTTCCATTTCCGAATTGTAATCCATAAGGCTGTTCAAAGCCCCCTCCACCAGGTTATCCTTGGGGAGCACGGAAGCCTCAGGGTTCTGTCCATTCTCCACACAGACATTAGTGTTCATATTGGACATTTCTGAGGGTAGGTGGAAGGGGGTAGAGGGGGAAAGAGGGGGGAAACCACCGAAACCGCTTAATTCAGTCACCTTTATTGTTGGGTGAGACCCTCAGCAAACAACTGGTTTTATCTATATATTTGTTGGTTGGTTGTGTCGGAGGAAGAGCTGCTTTAGTTGTATTTTATTTTTTTATATCCGTTTAGGTGATTTTTCAGCAGACATCAGTTTGTCACGGAGCATCTTCTTGTGCATTATCACAAACGCCAACTGTTCCAAGTAAAACAAAGAGAATCATTCCAAAAAGGTGTACAGGAGAGAAAAGAAATAAATATACTGTCAAGATCATTTCCATCACATTAATAAATATGATTGCCCCCCCGCATCCCCCACCCCCCTCCCTTCCCCCGAACATAATTGAATTGCATAATAGCATTAATAGCTGGATGGAATACCTGAAGGTGGAGAGGGGGGAGAGAGGGGAGGAGAGTGAAACTGGGGGTGTTGACAAATGCCAAGGGAGAGAGAGAGAGAAAGTAGAGATCAAAAGACATGTAAATCAGAGAGGGAAAGGGTTATAGTACCTTTAACCAGAGGGCATTTAACGTTATGAAATGCATGAACAAAGTCTTGTGAAGGCACGGAAATGCTGGAAGGCTGCGAGCAAAATGGTTTCGAACAGAAAAAAATGAACAGGAAATTAGCAAATTAAGTGCTGAGAAAGTCGACAATGCGTTAGAGTCTAAACTGAAGGCAAGGCACAATGCAAGCGACGGCCCGCCTGTATACAATCTCCAACTAAAAAGGAAGGGGGGAAAAATAGAAACTACCAGCTGCCACAGTGTCCTTCTGTGTCTGACGGTCATTAGTTTGAATCCCAGCACAGCTGGCTCTGCTAGGGTCTTAATTCAATGTACCAAGGACAGGTCTCAATTGGAGCAGCCATTTAAATGGTGGGGAGTGGGGAGGTGGGCCCCTGCGATGTGAGGGAGGGAGAGTGGATGGAAGGGAAGAAGAGGAAGAGATGAGAAAGGGGGCCAGATAAAAATAAGTCAGTCAATTTCATATTCTTCTGGTGTTATCTAAGAGCCAGCAGCTGTAGCGAGGCTGAGCTCTTTACAATCACAGAATGAGAAGCCCTCTGCATCCCTAAGCCCTGATGGCAGCACACGCTGAGAATAAAAGGCACCTGCACATACAGGACGTGGGTGAAGGAGAGATGCTTCATTGTCTGCCCATTGCACATTTCCATCAACACAGGTGCTGCTTATGTCACTTTGTCTAAGCCCCCGTATATCTCTGATGAGCTCAAACTTTTTGCCTTGCATATGATAGTCCTACCATTGGCCAACTGAGTTTCCCCAAATCCAAATAAACATCCCCAATGCAGGACGGCCGGCCCGGATTCACCTGTCAATGCACATGGCCCTTGCTAAATTAAAAAACAAAAAAAACAGGGCTGTGAATTGTAACCAGGGATGGCAAATGAAGGCCGATAGGAATTTAAGCATCCAAAGTTCAAAATGCTTATCAATTACGGTAATTAAACTCATAATTAGTTTAATGAAGCGTTTTAAGCATGACTTACTGGTACATGACATTATCTTCTGCAGATGCCACAGATGAGGGGGGATGGGGGACCTCAGATTGTAAACAAATCCTTCAATAAAAGTGGAGATCTATCAATCATTCCTTCCTCTCCTCTGGGAGCAGCGACAGGGATCTGGAATCCCAGGAAGACCTGGCTCTCCCTGCCACCGTCTCTGCCCTCTATCAAGGAAAAAAAAAAAGCAGAGGTTTGATAGCAAGTACAAAGGCTGCCCCAAAAGGCTCCAGGCTAAACGCAGCCCAGAGAATATGCATATACGGGACGCTCTTCACTTCCCATTAACGCCACTACAAATCACATGGAAACTTGCTGCTTCCTAACTAGTTACGCCAAAGCGATCGGGGACACAATGGGTGTTTTTTTGCTGTTTTTTTTTAGTTGGGATGCTGCCAGCACATAGACCACACCAGACCGCTCTACGTAAAGCCGTGCCCTATTAAAACAAAAAAACTGGAAAATACCTCATTTTGTGATGTGATGAAAAGTAGGAGGAAAAAAAAAAAATCAAGTGCTCAGGTGAAAGTAAGAAACGCCAGCAGGTAAGGCGAAGTAGAAAACGCAACCGCATCAAACAGTCACCGTCCCTTCCTAATTAACCAGAGGATAGCAATTACACTAGTAACCCACGGCGCCCGGGGAACCTTTAACGCTCCGCGTCTGCTCCGGCTACCGGAGATCAAAGGTCATATATAACGTCCCGAGGGGGGGGGGAGGAGAGGGGGCGGATGCAGATTAATTAATTAATGCTAAGCGCCGCCGGCTTCGTTTTCCACATTACGGCAAATCACCGCCAAAGGGGCAGAGACGCCAACGTCCAAAGGGGCAGGGTGAGAAGGTGTGAAGACAGTAACAACAACAACAACCAAAAATCTCTGTACTTACCACGGTATGGAGACTACGACACCAATCCCGCACGCTGCCGTCTGCATTTATTT